TTCAAGGTTTACGATCAACTTTACTTTTTGCAATTTGCTTCGACCGTTCTCGAGTTATTCGATTTTTTCTAATAAAATCTGCTCTAGCAGACATTTGTTCAAAAAGTCAGAGAACACTCGATTTTTGCGATATCAATTTAGGATTCAGAAAATGCTTAAGCAACATGATGGAGTATGTTTCGGTGTCGAGATTAGCTGTCTAGATCGTTTGGTCACTTTAGTATGGCACGTTAACTTTTCGAAATTTGGAAGTACCATAACTTCATTTTTTTAAATGGCACCCCCCATATTTTATTACTTCGACGTCTCATTTTACATCTTTTATATACCGTATGTCCTATACCTAACATTAATAGTTTGGGAAATAATTAGGGTTTTTTTTTATAAATGCACACTTATGTCCTCGATGTTAATCTAGTGTGAAAACAAATGTTTAATGAATTATTGACAAAGTCCGATTTACGTTGTTTGATGCTTGTGATACTTTTTGAAAAAAGTTATATGGACGGATGAATCTAAGTTTTCGAACCATATCTAGGCTTCCGCCAACTCGCCTACCATCCGAGAAAGAAACTATCAGGTTCCTAACAGATAATTTATTATTAGCTCATATACATCAAGTGACGTAAACAAGTGAGACTTTGACAAGAACTCTTTGAGAAGGTTTGATTTCCATGGCACACTCGGTTAAATATCGATATGATATGTGTGCATTTTTCAAAATACCCTAATTATTAATGTTAGGTATAGGACATATGAACGACTAAGTAATAAAATGATATTTAAAAAACGAAGTTATGGTACTTCCCAATTTCGAAAAGTTAACGTGCCATAGTAAAGTGACCAAACGATCTAAACCATTCTCGGCATACAAAACATTTTCTTTATTAATTGTGGCGCATTTTTTGGCGGTATTTGCTTGTTTGTATTGTTTCTGCTTCGTTGCTATGACAACCAATTAATTTTTTTCTCCAAACTTTCAAATCCTAAAACTCGGCCCAGGTTTTTACCGCACGTACAGGGTGGGCAAATTTGGGTGTTATTATAGGCTATCTCAGAAACTATAAGAGATATGAAAAAAGTAGGTGCCATGTCCCGGTCTCTTTTTTCGAGACTAACCCAATCCCGCAAACACCAAACCTCTATCTTCTTTTGTTTTTAAGTTATAGCCAAAAAGTCAAATTTTCGTGATTTCAAAAAATGCTCATATTTCGTTTATTTTTGAAATTAGAGAAATG